CCATTAGAGAGATGCAAATCAAAACAACAATGAGATACCATCTTGCCCAGCACTAGTAGCAAAGTTCAACAAGACAGAAAATAACAAATGCTGGCGAGGATGTGGAGAGATTGGGACTCTCATACACTGCTGGTGGGACTGTAAAATGGTACAACTACTGTGGAAAGCAATATGGCGATTCCTTAAAAAGTTGTAAGTAGAAATACCATTTGATCCAGCCATTCCATTACTGGGTATATATCCTAAAGAAATGAGAACCATGACAAGAACAGACATATGCACACCCATATTCATGGCAGCACTATTTACGATAGCAAAAAGTTGGAAACAATCTAGGTGTCTATCAACTGAGGAACGGATAACCAAACTGTGGTACATACACAATGGAATACTATGCAACCCTAAAGAATAATGTAGAATCTGCAAATCACTGCATAACGTGGATGAACTTGGAGGATATCATGCTGAGTGAATTAAGTCAATCACAGAAGGACAAATATTGTATTAGTCTGTTATTGTAAAAGTCAAGGAATGGTTTATATATGGAAGAAAATGTTCTTTGTTGGTTACCAGGAGTGGGACGGTAGGGTAGGGAACACTGTTAGGTAGGTAGATGTAAGTATTGATTTGGGTGAAGAGAAGGGCAATGTACCAAATGTGAGTGATCAACATGGTGGCATTGAGGAAGAAGAAGACATAGAGAAGTACATGTGAGGTGCAGACAAGAAAGATGAATGCTTTTGCACATACAGTACTGCATTGTCAGTGAAGGCAAACACAGGTATATGGGTGGATAGATAGGTAGACAGGCTGATAGGTATGTCTATGCAGCAGAGAGTGTACCCAAGACCATGTATAAGGATGGCAGACAATGGTTCTACAAGTATATGTGTATGTTCTGTAAGAACTCCCAGGGGTATAGTAGAGCTGACAAGGGACAAGGTTGTAGTCACTTCTTGGTCACAGCCAGCTACCCAGAGGGACTGAGTAGTTGAACCTGTGGGCTTGGGACCACAGTCACAGGGGACATCAAGCTCAATTGGCATAACATACTACCCAAAACATTGTTCCACCTCCTACTTTTGGCGAGTAGCGACTGGGATCTTAAAAGCTTGCAAGCTGCCATCTAGATGCAACAATGGGTCTCTCCTCGTCTAGAGCAAAGAAGAATGAAGAAAACCAAAGATTCATGGAAACAATTAGTCCTCATGACTGGTACACCATGCAATCCTCAGCCTATACGACTATGCGACCAGAAGAACTAGATGGTGCCCAGCTACCACCGTCAGCCACTCAGAGGGGGATCCCTGTAGGAGATCCTGGATAGAGTGGGAGAACAATGTGGAACAAAACTCAAAATCATTTGGGAAAAAAAAAGGGGGGGGGGGAGGAGACCAGGTTTGCTGGTCTGATAGAGCCTGGTGGAACCACTGAGACTATGGTCCCTAGCTGCCCTTCAGGTCTGGAATTGACCCCACACCTGTGGCTTCCAGCCAAATGAAAGACAGGTATAAGAGTTGAACATGCACCTGAGGAAGGTACATCCCTTGGAGAGAACAATCATGGAAGAATAGAAGGGCTGTTTATGCACAGGGAGACAGCTCAGGGGGCAGGAGTGCATGGAGGGATGGACACAGGGAAGAGGTAACTATCGGTAGGAAGTGGGAGGGGAGGTGTTGCATTGAGATAAACTGTCAATGTCATCAGACAACATGTATTTGAACTGCTGTATAGAAAGCGAATTTGCTCTGTAAACTTCCACCCAAATCACAATTTAAAAAAAAAAAAAAAAGAATATGGCAGAGTTATCATTCCTCTGAGTCTTTGCATTATGTGGCAAAGGTGAAAGTATTTTTCAGATGTAATTAAAGTCTATAGTCACTTGATTTTTAGAAAATTAAAAGGGAGATTATCCTGGGTGAGCCTAGCCTAATCAGGTGAGCACTTTAAATTTGGTGATGAAATTAATGTTTTAAAACGTAAATCTATTGGTGTTTGAACAACTGAAACATTTACCAAAAATCATAAACAAGTATATGTAAAATGTGTGAATTTCATCGCATAAAATTTTACTTAAAGAATTTTTTTCTAAGTTAATGTTAAGATGCCTCCTTGCCAATGAGATTCTAAGAGCAGAATTTAGATTTAATATAAGGTTATGAGATGAAAGTTATTTCCCCAAAGTTTGGAAACTAGACTAGTAGGATACAATGTATTTGTACATTAATAGTTGGAGGTGAAATTGAAGGTTTTGTCCAACTGTCACACTTTCTTTGGCTTAATGCCTTCTCTGGATATAATCCTATGACTTTATTATCTAATTAGACTCCACTTCCCTGGATTTTTTGTGTTTTCCTATACACTGAAAACCGAAATAAGTGGGAAGATTCAACTCTTTCACCGTGTAACCCTTTCCAGGTTCATCAGAAGTCTTAAAGTATTGTCTTTGGCTTCAGTCACATCACAACAGAGAGTTAAGTAGCCACAACAGAGACTGTATGGCCTGCAACCTACAATATTTACTAACGGGCCTTTTAGAACAGAAATTTATCAATTTCTACATATATTTTAAATAGGAATGAAGCAAAGAAAGAATATAGTTGATATGTATTCCCTTATTACAAAATTTAATAAATAATACTTGAAAACTCTAGTTGAACTAGCATGCTATCATTTCATAGCTTAAATATATATAAAAGTATTAAATTAGCAATTTTTGTCTGAAGTACACTCAATATTTTTATTTCTATCTATCTGTCTACCTCAGGTTTTATTGGTTTATAAACCTAAATGCAACTGTTGTCTTTCTGGGAATATCTTACGTCCAACACTCAGGAGCCTGGGCCTTTGTTTTACTTGTTCCTCTTATGTCTACACTTATGGCTCTGATAACTCTTCATATGATATACTCTAAACTGATTCATCAGCCGGAGAAATGTAAGTAACCTATACTCTACATTAATTTTTTTTTATAGTCTTCTTGTCAAGTTTCCTTCCACTTTGATTCCATATTATTTCTCCTTTAACTCACAGAACTTATAAATTCTGCCAATTATTATGCTGGATAGCAATAGAGTCTGCAAGAATATCCAGAATATCTATATTATTTTATGTTTTCCTGTTAAAAGTTTTAATCATGCAATATTTCAAACATACACAAAAGAAGAAAAAAAATTACATATGAAATCCATATTATCTACATCTCCACTTCCCCATCTCATTCTAGATAATTTTGAAACTAAATATCGTATAATATATAGGTTTTGTATGCATAAATACAAAAACGTTGAGTACTTTTTAAGAAAACATAATCCCAATGTCATTATCATACCTAAATATACACATACACATTCATATACATACATACATCCTGTTGCCATGAAGTCGGTGCTAACTCATAGCAACTCTACAAGACAGAGTAGAACCGCCACACAGGGTTTCCAAGGCTATAAATCTTCACATCGGCAAACTGCCACATTCTCTCACAGAGAGTTAGTGGGTTGGAACCAATGGTCTTTCAGATAAGCGCTGAGCATTTAACCACCGTATCACTAGGACTCCTTTATATACATACATACGTGTGTGTGCACGCGTGTGTGTGTATATATTTGTTGTTGTTATGCGCCGTGGAGTCGGCCCCGACTCATAGCGACCCTCTTTGGGTTTCTGAGGCTGTAGCACTACGGAAGTAGATTGCCACATACATATATACATATGTAAAAAAAGATGGGACAATCTACTTCCTTAAAGATTTATGGCCTCTGAAACCCAATGGGAATCGCAATGAGTCAGAATTGGCCTGATGGCAGTGAGTTTGGTTTGGTTTTTTAGTAGAGAGAGAGAGAGAGAGAATTCCTTAATACTGTCAAATATACAGTCACTGTTAAAATATCCCTGATTATTTCTATTTTGTTGCTGTTGCATTTGTTTGTTTCATAGCTTGTTCAAATTAAATCCAATAAGACTCATTTATCTAGTAAGCCATATATGTTTTTCCCCCTTCCTCTCAGTCTCTCTCTTCACAGTTACCATTATTTTTTTAAGAAATCTGTATATTTTCATGTAGCATTTCTCAGTCTGGATTTTGCTGAATGACTTCTTATGGTACAGCCGAACAGGTTTCTTTTGTTCCTATATTTTCCATAAATTAAGCCTAGGTGCTTTATCTGATTCAGAGTGGTTTTTGTTGCTATTGTTGTTGCAAAATTCATTTATAAATAATGTTGTATATTCCAATCAAGAGGCATAATGTCTGATTTTCTGCATTTTTGCAGTGTCAGCATCCATTGATAATTATTGCCTAAATCCACTACTCCACTGGGGGCTGCAAAATGATAATTATATAGATTCCTTCATGTTTATTAGTTGAAATAATTATAACAAGAGAAATATCCCCCCATTAACTATTTAGTTACAAAAGGGAACAGTTTATATAGGTGAGATAAATGGTTATTTCCAGAGTTTCAAATTACCGACAGGCTTCAACATCCTGCAAAGGTGATCTGTTAAGAGGATTGGATTATTTTGTTAGCTGTTAGTATGAATTAATGGACTTAAACATCTTTGAGTTGTTTCAAACTGTTACAGTAACTGAATCTCAGTTTTTCCCATATTTGGACAGTGAGGTCGTCTTCAAGTTGGTACCTTTGAATCCTTTGGAAAAGCTTCCAGTTATCTTTGATTGCTTCCTTGTTTTCTAGTACATTTGATCTCATCATTTTCTTCCCTGAATTTGGAATCAAATATTTCTCCAGAAAGCTTTGTTTCCTAGCAGTGAATAATGGTGTTTAGAGACTACAATCTTGGCAATGAGGATGCTCATGGCTACATAGAATGTAGATATTTTCAATGTACAAAGTTAGAAATTGTTCTTTTTCTAAGAAAACATACATTAAAAAACTCACTGCTGTTGTGTCGGATCTGACTCATAGTGACCTCTCTTTGGGTTTCCGAGGCAGTATCATTATGATAAAACCAAAAAACCAAACCCACATCCTTCAACTCGTTTCTGACTCACAGTAACCCCCATGGGTTTCCAAGGTGGTAAATCTTTATGGAAGTAGATTACCCCTTCTTCCTTCAGGGAAGTGGCTGGTGGATTTGAACCAACAACCATGTGGTTAGTAGTCAAATGCCTTAGGCACTATGCCATTTTAGATCACACTAATACCCTAGTCTAGTCAAATTTACTCCAAGAGAATCTTTACTTAATCATTAGTTAACCACATCAATCATATCTTTTTATACTTTTTCCCATGCCAAAATCCCAGTTCTCAATAGCACCAGTATGATTACACCTTTGCTTTATTCCAAAGGACACTTGCAACAGTCTCATATTAACAAACCAGTACTCCTACATACAATATGATTACTGAAAACAATGTCAGAGATTATTTGTATTGTTTTGTTTTACATTTGTTTCCTTATGTTATATCCCCAGGTATGTACATCTAATAAAGAGACTGGTAGGACAATGGTTAGGTGCCCGGCTGCTAACTTGAAGTTCAGCAGATGGAACCTCCTAAGCTGTTCCATAGGAGAAAAGACCTGGCAACCTGCTCCCATAAAGATTACAGCCTAAGAAACCCTAAGGGGGCAGTTCTACTCTATCCTATAGAGTCACTATGAGTCAGGATCAACCAGATGGCACACAACAATGATAACACAAACATTCCAATTTAATGTGTTAAAGTCACTGGTTTTGCCACTAATGTGATATACAAGTGCATTTGCATAAAACAAAGTCTGCTTAATCTCTATACCTGGTTCATGTTGCTTTCTAGTTTAATTTTTTAATTTTCATTCAGTTTTTATGTACATATTTTTGTTCATCTAAAATTCATGTACAAAACACAATCTACTTAAACTCCATACCTGATTCCCTTTCTTCCATATAGGTCACCATTTAAATATTATTATTTTTTTATGGTTTAGTCTTCCTTTTCAAAAATAAAGGCAAGTGTTCAAGTTGTGAATATATATATGTATGTGTGTTAGGAAGAACAAAGCAAAACAAAGCACTTGCCCTGAGTCAACTCCAACTCATGGTCACCCAGGTGTGTCACGGAAGAGCCCTGTTCCCTACAGTTTTCAGTGACTGAATTTTTGGCAATAGATCACCAGGCTTTTCTTCTAATTCCTCCAAGGTGCCTCCAGGTAAACTCAAAGTTCTAAACTTTCTGTTAGCAGCCAAGTTTATGAACTGTTTGCACCACCCAAGGACTCATGTAGAAAGAAGGCCTGGCTATCTACTTCTGAAAATCAGGCAATGAAAAGTCTATGGATCACAACAATCTGTGAAGCTTGTACTAGACTGAGTGGTGTGTCCACTGTGCAGAGGGGAGCTAACCGACTTGCCATGAGTTGGGGACCAACTTGCTAACAACATATGTGTGTGTATGTTTGTGTGTACTTTCCCCATTCTAATATAAACAGTAACATACTGTTTATATTTTTTTCTCACCTGCTTTTTTCAGCTATGACAATTGCTTCATAGCTGTATGTAAAAATATGCTTCATTTATTTTCATAGCTGCATAGTACTCCATTCTGTGGATAAACTTGTTTATTTTACCAGTTCCGTATTGATGGACATTTGGGTTCTTTTTGTTTTTGTTTGGGTTTTTTTTTTTATTATTATTATT